ACTGTCCCTCCCTAGATTGTCTCAGACTTGTCTGTGCATAACCACCATTGCTGGTTAAATGGTCAGAAAGAACTCAAATGGCATCTGAACTTATGTCAAGACTCAAAATGGAGTTAGGGTTCTCCCTTTGTAGACTCAGCATTCCACAAGCCAAGAGCTTTAGAATTTAAGCGATAATACATTATTACCCTTGTAGGTAATGTCGCCCCATCAAACACCTAAAAAATTATTTAACTCAGATTATTTACCATCAGATGAAGAGGAGTAGTTTTATAATTTTTATGTGGTCACATTTTTGACTTCTTGAAATAAGAAGTTTCTTTGTAAATTACTTTGTTGTGTGAACCAGATCTGCTCTGGAAGAAGGACTAGGGCTAGGTAGGAGTTTGATAAGAAAGAGCTGTTCTCTCTTACTCAAGGAATATGGGAATTCCCTTACTTACAGTCTTTTTCCTCACCATATGAAACTTCCCTGCTGAATGAAAACTAAATTGATTTCTAACCCAAAGTCTTGTTACTATGATGCCAGAACACTAGCATTGGTGTTTTACTGATGCCAAATATGACTGCATAAAGCTTTATTAAACAGGGTGTGGTTTGGTTGAAAATTTTGTCTTTATTTTGAAGTTGTGGGTTTTAAGTGTCAGAAAGCAGGATTCCTATAATCCAACAATTCATTGTGGCTAGCTTTTGAAAAGTCTAAGTGAGAATTGGCAGATCTTTTTTTTGGTATTCACAATTAATGAAATTAAAATTGGTAAATAAAAGTTCAAATGAGTACATTCTATATTAAAGATGTTGGTTTGTCCGTAATTTCACATGAAGATGAAAAGCACTTTTAATCATTGTTTTTGCTAGAAAAATTGATTTAGTGTTTAATGATGGTAACGAAATAATAATGGTGATAACATTTATTGAGGCTATTTGTGTCCTGTTTTTTCTCCTGTATTTCAGTTAATATCTTCTCAGTCTCTTTTACTGTATTCTCTTCATTGTTACTGTTTTACCAGTTGATTCCAAAGCATAGCAACTTTATAGGACAGAGTAGAACTGCCCCTTAGGGTTTCCTGGCTCTAATCTTTATAGATGCAGATTGCTAGGTCTTTCCTTTAATGGAGCTCTTAGTGGATTGAAACCAACCTTTAGGTTACCAGCCCAACACTTAACCATTGCACCACCAGTGCTCCTTATATCTTCTACCTGACCCTGAAAGTTTTTACTCTTCAAAGCTCACTCTTTGGGTCTTTTTTTCTCTCTGTAGCCCTTTCCTAGGTAAGTTCACCATTCCTTGTTCTCATATTGTCAATACCTTATGTCTAATACTTAAACCAAAGTCAAACCCACTGCCAAGGTAGAAAATGTTTATGGAAGCAGACTGTTACATCTTTCTCTCATGGAGCTGCTGGAGGGTTTGAGCTGGCAACCTTTTAGTTAGCAGCTGAGGACTTAATCACTGTGCCACAAGGCTCCAATTGGGTGTCTCATAAACACTGCAGACATCTCAAACTAGTAAATTGAGAACTGAATTCTTGGCTTTCTCCTCAATCCCTAATCTGCCTTCAGCTCCCCCACCCTCTAGGCTTTTCTAGCTCACGAAATGATATTATCGTGTATTTGTTCAAGAAACATAGGTGATATTCTTTAATCTTCCCTTTCTCCCATATTCGAGCCACCAACTTTTGTTCATTCTACTCCAACTGTTTCTAATATCTTCCTGCCCATCTTTTGTACCCACCTTTCTTGTAGGTCTCCATGGCTTTCTTCCTGAGCTGCTGTAACAGTATCCTGCTCTTTTCTTGTTCCATTTTTTGCCCTCTTCTAGTACTTTCCCCTAAGGTAGCAAATTTAGTTTTCATTAGATTGCCATCCTTCTGCTTAAAAAACAATGACAACCAAAACAAAACAAAACAAAACAAAACCCTAAAGTTTCACATTGCCCTTAGGATAAAATCCAAAAATCTTACCATGTCCTGAAAGGCTCCCCTTGATTTGCCTCTTGTTAAGCTTCCCAGCTTTATCTTATGCCAATCTAGCTTGCTCTCCTGCTCTCGCCACATGTCTTTTCTTGTAGCTCCTGCAGGAGACTCCTTCCTACCCCTTTCTATCTCTGTCCAAAGTGCTCCCATACCATCTCTGTATTGCACCTTCCATGACCTCCCATTGGCTATTGTTATGAGGTGCTGGCAAGTCAGTTCTGATGCATAATGATCCTCTGTACAACAGAACAAAACACTGCCTTGTCCTGCACCATCCTCACAGTTGTTGCTATGTTTGAGCTGTTGTAGCCCCTGGATCATCTCAATGAGGGTCTTCCTTTTTTTGCTGACCCTCTATTTTACCAAGCATGCTGTCCTTCAGGGATTGGTCCTTCCTGGTAACTTGACCGAAATACTTGAGATGACATCTCACCATCCTCCTGAGGAGCATTCTAGCTGTACTCCTTCCAGAGTTCTTCTGGTGTCCACGGTATATTCCTTCTAATCCTGTTTTCATCTCTTGGTGAGCTCCTTTGAGATAACTTCCCTGATTCCTTTATCTAAAGGAGGTCTCTCTTTTCCTTAAAGATAACTTCCGTAGGGAGACTTCCTTTTAGCTAAAGAAGGGTCTTGCCTCCCCTCTCCATTCCATTTCCTCTATCTGAAAATCTTCCCTTCCCATCCCCAAATAATCTTTCTCAACCCTTCTTTGTTTTCCTTCACAGCGCTGGTAACAGTGAGTGCATTTTTTTTCCCCTTCTCTACCAACAGAGCTCTGGTGGCATGGTGCCTAAGGCATTTGACTGCTAACCAGAGGCTGGTGGTTCAAACCCACCAGCCACTATTCGGAAGGAAGATTGAACAATCTTCCTCTGTAGAGATACCATCTTGGAAACCCGAGGAGGGCTCACTATGAGTTGGAACTCAAGGGCAGTGAATTTGTTTTTTTTTGGTTTCTACCAGCAGAATGGAAACCCCACTGAGAGCAGAAACCAAGATTGTCTTACTCATGCTGGTATCTGTAGTGCCTGGACTGTGCTTTATGTAGAGGAGGCACTCAATCCATAATATCGGCTTTTGAGTGAATAACAACCAAACCCACTGCCATCAAGTTGATTCTGACTAACAGCAACCCTGTGGGACACAGTAGAACTACCCTAAAGGTTTTTAAGGCTGCAGATCTTTATGGAAACACTAGTGGGTTCAAACCTCCATTTGGTTAGCAGCCAAATGCCTTAACTACTTTGCCACCAGAGCTCCTTTCAATAAATAAACCAAACTCACTGCCATCAAATCGATTGACTCATAGTGACCTCCATTGGTTTTCCAAGGCTGTAAATCTTTATGGAACCAGACTGCCTCATCTTTCCTCCATGAAGCAGCTAATGCATTCAAACCACTGACCTTTTGGTTTACCAGGCAAATGCCTTAACTACTACACCACCATAGTGAGAAAAGATCTCTTTATAATTTAAAAAAAGAAAAAAAAAAAAAGGATCTCTGGTTATTTTCTCCTTAGTTTATTTCACCCTGATAAGAAATTGAAATGGTAGTCTTTGACCAGGAATTGATTAGATTAATCTTATTAAGATAAATTTATTAGTTGCTATTTTTAAAATAGTAGTTCTAAAACAGGAGCCTTAATGATGCAGTGGTTGAAATACTTGGCTGCTAATTGAAGGGCTGGTGGTTCAAACCCACCAGCTGCTCAATGGGATAAAAATGTTACAGTCTGCTTCTGTCTAGATAGATTACATCCTTGGAAACTCAATGGGAAAGTTCTGCTCTGTCCTGTAGGGTCACCATGAGCTGGAATTAATTCAACAGCAACAGGTTAGTTCTAAAACAAGGTAAGTTTTCTGAATGGCAAATGATAATATCTGGAATGACCATACTTTAGAATATAGTGATTTATTTTTTTTCCCCTCAGTATATAAGAAATGGATAATAAATAATCTCATTGCCATCATTTTTTGTTTGCTGTGACCAATACAGAATATGCAAGCTGGATAAAAAAAAATTCTTACTGTAGATTAATTATTCTTAACATATATTACTCTTCAACTTCTGCTTACCTGTTTATTAGTTACTATCTTTCTGCCTGTATCATCTCCCTCATTTCTTCCTCTCTTGTTGTGCATCCTTCATTAAAGAAAATTGGTCCCTGAACCCTACATTGTTTTACATTGTTTTCTCCTTTATCTACATCTGTGTTTGGCAGTTTTAGGAGACATACATCAATTTATTGTGATGAGTCAGAGACTCTTCAACTATGTTTTATTACCTTTTCCTTTCTCATAACATCTTCTGAAGGGGGCCTGGCTATTTGGAAAAGAAGACTTTTGTCCTTGCCATTTTTTTCTGTTACATATAGCAAATCTTTCTCTCTCTCTCTCACTCTCACTCACACACACACACACACACACAAATAAATAAATAAATAAATGAAAGCAAAATAAAACTTCCCTGACTCTAGCCAGAATACCTTTCTTAACAGTTTATTGAGGTATAATTGATATGTAACAAATTTCACATACTTAAAGTATATTATTTGACCAGCATAAATTTTTAAATGATGTAAAATGATGAAGTTATCATGTACTATGTTACTAGAGTGAATGAACCATACTGAATAATGTATGTAAGAGAGTACTATGTGAATAATGAAAACAGTGTCCTCAGTTAATGATTTTAAAAAGATAATATTTGTGAATAATATCAGGAGCATAATTTTTCCTCATAAATCATAAGATAGGAGCTCTGGTAGCATAGTGCCTAAGGCATTTGAGTGCTAACCAGAAGGCTGGCAGTTCAAACTCACCAGTCACTCCTCGAAAGGGGGGTTGGGCAAGCTACTTCATAGTAATACCACCACAGAAGCCCAAGGAAGGGTCGCTATGAGTCGGGTACAACTCGACGGCAGTATGTTTCGTTTTTTTTGTTTGTTTGTTTGTTTCATAAATCGTAAGATACTGTTTATAGCTTCTGTCATTTAAAATATTGTCTCCTTCTTTTGTATTTTAGTAGAATGTTTCTTCTGGTGGGAGCTCCCAAAGCAAACACTACTCAGCCTGGAATTGTGGAAGGAGGGCAGGTCCTTAAATGTGACTGGTCGTCTAACCGCCGATGCCAGCCAATTGAATTTGATGCAACAGGTAAATATTGAGGCAGTAGGCCTTGGCCTTAATTTATACCACTTGATTTTTCTTAATTTTAGTTTAAATATAATAGTTTAATAAAATAAGCACTTTAGATCCCCAAAGTTACATATGACAAATGAGTTATATGATATTTTCCTGCTATTGGTGTGTTATATAAAAAGCATACATCGTGTTTCCATTACTTCAGATATCATTGTCATTAAACAGATAGTGTTGATCTGTAGAAATTTTGGGAAAATGAATCAAGATGTTTTTGCATTTCTTCTGAGAAGGGGAAGCTCATAGACACAGCAGAACTTTTTGTCGCGTCACCATCTGCCAAATGACTCACAGGCTACTGTAGATGATTAACTTCTAATCATGAATATAGCCAAGGCTTGGGTGGTGCTACCAAAACCAGTTTAAGACTCTTTTGTATTCAAGAAGATTTGAGTACTTTAAAAAATCTTACCCAAAATTTAGTGAGAAAGTGATGTGTTATGGTTCTGATAAGATTAGAATTTTATCTACAGGGACACGACTTTATTGTCAGTCTGGGTTGTGGTAGTAAGGAGAAAAACATCATAAAGAACATGAGAAACAAGTTTTATACTTGGTAATCATAAAATATACATAATCCTATACAATTTGTATATTGGTGTGTGTATACTTATACATTTACATAAATTGTGGGATAACATCAAGGACACCTGCAGAAAAGACAGAGAAGACCAAAACAATGTGAGAAGAGACTCTGAAACTTCCTCTTGAATGTAGAATGTTGTTGTTGTTGTTGTTATGTGCCGTCAAGTTGGACCTGACTCATAGCGACCCCTCCTTGGGTTTCCGAGGCAGTATCACTATGAAAATAGATTGCCCCATCTTCCTTCTGAGGAGTGGCTGGTGGGTTTGAACCGCCAGCCTTCTGGCTAGCAGTCAAGTGCCTTAGCCACTCTGCTACCAGAGCTCCCTGAATGTAGAATAGCCACAGTGAATAGAAGAAATGATGAAGTAAGAGTTGAACAGAAGATTTCAATGGGTAGCTTGAGAAGACAAAGTAAAGTTTACAATGAAAAGTGTAAAGACCTGGAGTTAGAAAAGCAGAAGGGAAGAACATACTTAGCATTTCCCAAGCTGCAAGTGAAAAAATTCAAGCCTTGAGGAAGTCCAAGTTGCACTGAAGGCACTGGTGAAAAACAAGACTCCAGGAATTGACTGACTACCAATTGAGATGTTTCAACACATGAATGCAATACTGAAAATGCTCACTTATCTTTGCCGACAAATTTGAAAGACAGCTACCTGGCCATCCAACTAGAAGAGATCCATATTTGTACACATTCTAACAGAATGTGAAAATTATTAATGATGTCATTAATAATCACACTCAAGTAGATTTTTTGGAGATAATTCAAAAACAGTTGCATCAGTACAGTCAGGGAACTGCCAGAATTGCAAGCCAGATTCAGAAGAGGACGTGTAATGAGGTATATCATTGCTGATGTCAGATGGATCTTGGGTGAAAGTAGAGAATACCAGAAAGATGTTTACCTGTTTTATTGACTGTGCAAAGGCATTTAACTGTGTGGATCATCACAAATTATAGATAACATTGCAAAGAATGGGAATTCCAAACACTTCTAATCATGAGGAACTTGTACATAGACCAGGAGGCAGTTGTTCAGTCAAAGCAAGGGGATACTGCATGGTGGAAAATCAGTAAAAGTGCTCATCAGCATTGCATCCTTTTACCATACTTATTCAGTCTGTAGGCTGAGCAAATAATCCAATAAGCTAGGCTATGTGAAGAAGAAGCTGGCATCAGGAATGGAGGAAGACTCATTAACAACCTTTGATATGCAGGTGACTCAACCTTGATCACTGAAGGTGAAGAAGACTTGAAGCACTTACTAATGAAAATCAAAAACTAAAAAACTATAGTCTTCAGTATAGATTACATCTCAACATAAAGAAAACAAAAATCCTCATAACTGGAGCAAAAGGCACCATCATGATAAACAGAGAAAAGATTGAAGTTGTCAAGCATGTCATTTTGCTTAGATGCATAATCAGTGCCTATAGACACAGCAATCAAGAAATCAAATGACATATTGCAGGGATGTCGCTTTGAGGCTGAGATGAGGACCATAGTATTTTTAATCACCTCATATGCATGCAAAAGCTGATCAGTGACTAAGGAAGACTGAAGGAGAGTGGGTGCATTTGAATTATGGTAGTGGTGAAGGATATTGAATATACCGTGGACTACCAGAAGAAATAATAAATCTGTCTTGGAAGAAATACAGCCAGATTGCTCCTTAGAAGCAAGGATGATGAGAGTTGTTCTCATGTCCTCTGGACATGTTATCAGAAGGGGCCAGTTTCTGGAGAAGGACATCATGCTTGGTAAAGTAAATGAGGGTAAGGTAAAAAGAGGAAGACCTTCAATGGGATAGATTGACATAGTGGCTGCAACAGTGGGCTCAAGCGTAGCACAACTGTGAGGATGGCCCAGGACCAGGCAGTGTTTCTTTTTTGCTGTGCATAGGGTCACTGGCACCTAAGAACAGCAACATAAATATGTGCATATGTATTGGTGAAAGCATAGTGAATCCTCAAAGAAATAGTGTGACATTCCTCCTCTACAGTGTTTTTTAAAATTTTTCAAATAGTTCTAATTTGCAGTTTTTGATAAGCGCTTTAAGATAAGCCTGAACAAAATGAATCTATTTTCCATATTATTTTTTCCTAGTAGTTCTGACATAGATTGGTACAGGGAATTATAATAAAAGCATGAAACATTATTATAATAAAAACAGGAATCATGAGATGGACTCTTCCACTGACATCATGATTACTGCCAAAAAATTATTGTCAACCATTAAACTAATTCTTAATGGTAATCAGGTTGCTTATTTTTTTTCATTTGAAACCATTGCCATTTGACTCTGTCATACTCCCCACCACCACCACCAACACCTATTTGGATAACTCCAAGAATGAGCAAATAGACCTTGTTTTACCAAAATGAGGAAACACCTGTGATTCAGAATATTAGAGAACAGGGCATTTCTGTATCTTCTAACAAAACATGAGTACCAATAAAATTAAACCATAGGTCAGTTTTGATAACTCTTCTGATGTATTTGTGTATTCAGCACCATTAAGTGTTTGTTCACTAAAAGATAATTTAGTGCTGGCCCATTCTGAAATTTGCTTTAATAAAATTTTTGTTGGTAATTTTTTTATTACCTGTTCAATTTCTTCTTTTGTTATGGATCCACATCAGTCTGTGTTTGTTTAGGTAAGTGGTGTGTTTCTAGAAATCTGTCCATTTCTTCCAGATTTTCAAATTTCTTGAAGTACAGTTCTTCATAGTGTCCTGATATTATCCTTTTTATTTCAGTTGGTTCTGTTGTGATGTTGCCCATTTCATTTCTTACTCGTGTTATTTGTATCCTCTCCCTCTTTTCCTTTGTTAAATTTGCCAGTGGTTTGTCAATTTGATTAGTCTTTTCAAAAAACCAACTTCTAGTCTTGTTGATTTTTTTCTGTTGTCTGTTTTCTGTTTCACTGCTTTCTGCTCAAATCTTTATTATTTCTTTTCTTTTGGTGACAGTACACTTTTTTTGCTGTTCTTTTTCTAATTGTTGGAGGTGTTGGTTTAAAGTGTTGATTTTGGCTCTTTCTTCTTTTTTGATGTGTGCATTTATTGCT